GGGTTTAAAGGCTATTAGCCGTCGGTGTCAAATCCATCATTGCATGATGGATTTGAAAACGACGGCAAATTTAAACTACAGATCAGATAACATAAATGGTTAATGTATCGGACTGCAAATCTGAATATGAGCGTTCAATTCGCTCTCTGATCTATCGTGGTTTCATAGTTAGATACTAAATTTATGTGTAATAGCGAAACACGCATTGCGTGTTAAGTCAGGTGCATGCACCTGCCTATTTTTATATAATCAATACGCAAATAGCGTGGTCCACGATATTATTGCAGTATTATCGTCACCATTTTCAAATCCATCATGCAATGATGGATTTGACATCGGTGACTAGCCCCCTAACGGGGCACATTTTTTAAAAAAGAAATAATTACGAGACACGCAATGCGTGTCGAGTCAGGTGCATTGCACCTGCCTAAATTTTTAAGTTTAAAAAGACCCCTTCATCTAGTGGTAGGATAGCATTTTTTCATGATGCCTGCATTGGTTCAATTCCAATAGGGGTTAATAAAATCACATAAGACAGGTGCAATGCACCTGACTCGAAACACACTAAAAGTGTGTGTCTCGTGAGATTTTTCACCAAAGGTGTTAAATTGCAACCCTTAGATTGCTAGGCACCTTCAGACTCGTCAGGATCTTAGCCATTAGTGTCAAATCCATCATTGCATGATGGATTTGAAGACGATGGCGACAGTATCGACAAAAAAAAACTACGCCCCCCTTTGGGGGGTGTATAAGATTTATGTTTTTAATATAGCCTACCTGGAGAAATAGGTAGACTCTTCGACCTTAAAAGTCGAAACTGTAAACAGTGTGAGGGTTCAAGTCCCTCGGTAGGCAATTAAATAGGCAGGTGTATGCACCTGACTCGACACGCAGTGCGTGTTTCGTATAATCTTTTTCATATTCATCGCCATTATGAAATGGCTGGAACCCTTTCGGGTTTTAGCACCCATTTGGGTGCGATAGTATCAATTAAAAGGATCATAACTCAACGGTAGAGTGCATTCTTGATAAGGATGAAATAGTGGTTCGATTCCACTTGATCCTAAAATCACACGAGATACGCATTGCGTATCTCGTGTTTTGATGTAGGCAGGTGCATGCACCTGCCTATTAAAATAAAAAATACTAGTGTTAACAGTAATAAAACTGTTCAACAGAAAGTCATAAATTGATCGAATCTTCGACATCGACGCCATCAAATAGGCAGGTGTATGCACCTGACTCGACACGCAGTGCGTGTTTCGTATAATCTTTTTCATATTCATCGCCATTATGAAATGGCTGGAACCCTTTCGGGTTTTAGCACCCATTTGGGTGCGATAGTATCAATTAAAAGGATCATAACTCAACGGTAGAGTGCATTCTTGATAAGGATGAAATAGTGGTTCGATTCCACTTGATCCTAAAATCACACGAGATACGCATTGCGTATCTCGTGTTTTGATGTAGGCAGGTGCATGCACCTGCCTATTAAAATAAAAAATACTAGTGTTAACAGTAATAAAACTGTTCAACAGAAAGTCATAAATTGATCGAATCTTCGACATCGACGCCATCATGAGATGGCTAAGACCCTAACGGGTCTGAAGATGTCTAGTAACCTAAAGGTTGCGAATAAAATTTTAAGGCAGGTGCAATGCACCTGACTCGACACGCTTTGCGTGTCTCGTAAAAAAATAATGAATGGGCAGGTGCAATGCACCTGACTCGACACGCAATGCGTGTCTCGTAATTTTTAAATTTATTCTTCTAAATTAAGCCCTGCATTAGCAGGGATTCGTCACCAAAGGTGACTCAAATTTATAACCTCTGAATTCTTTTTTAGAGTTTAAGTATCTTGAAATAGTGTTTCTATTTATATTTAATGTATTTGCACATTCTTTAATGGAGTTAAATATAAATTTTTTATTTTCTTTAATAGCATAAATTTTTTGAAAACCTCCGACTACTCGGTTAGTTTTTATATTAATACGATTAGATCCTATTAATTTATATGGTGCTTCAAGAGAAAAGACCATATCTATTTCTTTTTGCGTTATAGGTGTATTCACAGCATTACCCACGAAAGTTGATAAACGAAAATTATTCATTTGATTTTTTATTTTATTTATAAGAATTTTACCTTCAGGTAATAAATGTCTTCCAGAATAATACAATAAAACTAAAATAGATCAATCTTTAAAATCTTTTTCTTTTTTAGTATAAAATTTAAGAGAATTAAAAAGTGGTAATATTTGATCATGTATAATTTCAATATGACTTAATTCAAAAATAGCCATTGGTTTTTCATTTTTAAATCTTTTAGTAGATTTAGTTGTATAAAGAGAACCAGAATTCAAATAAATTTTAATATTTTCAAGAAGAAAATAATCAGAAAGAGTTACACCTATTTTTAATTTAGGTATTAAATTATTAGTTGTAAATGAACCATCACCTTCTATAAAACCAAGTAATCAATTAGGAGTAATATTAACTTGATGAGATTTTGGCCTATTAAAATGAATTCTATTTTTATTCATTTGATTTTTTATACTTAGAATTTTTAATTTTCCTTCAATTTTTAAATGTTCACTTGATGATATAATATCAAAAGCTTCTTTAAAACTAAGAAAATTAAGATATTTAGAAGAATTTAATGTATATTCTAAAAAAATAGGTATAAATAAATAATTAAAAGCATTTTTATCTGTAACTATATACTCACAACTAGTTTTATTTAAATATATATTACCACATTTTAAAGTTTTTTTTAAAAATTCTAAAAGAGGTAACTCATCAATATGAAAACCTAATCTTATAACTAATTGAAATAAATTATTTTTTTTATCATGTCGAATAGTAAAATTTCCTTCAGCATCAAATAAACCTATAAATCACTGTTTAAATTCAGGTGTTAGTGATTTATAAACATCATAATATTTTATTTTAATATTATCATTTAAATAATTTTTATGTAGACAGGTACATGTACCTGATTCAATATGCAATGCATGTCTTGGAATATTTTTTTTATATTTACCCTGAAGAGGATGAACTTTAAAAAAAATAAAAGAATACATTATATAATAACTTGGGGAATTAAAAGCAATCAATATACTTGGCACTAAAATAAAGAAAGCAAGTGTTAATGGAAGAAGAACTGTCCAACAGAAAGTCATTAATTGGTCGAATCTCAGCCGGGGATAACAAGCTCTTATTCAAATAAAACAGAATAAAATTATAGAAGTTTTAATACCTAAAATAAATGGTTGTAACCAAATCATTAAGTCAGGTGAAATCATTCCAAAATCAGGAATTAGATATCCACCTAAAAATAAAATAGAAGTAAAAGTTGAAAAAAATATAATAGAACCGTATTCAGCAAGAAAAAAATAAGCAAAAGGTAAAGCAGAATGTTCTGTCATAAATCCAGATACTAGCTCTGATTCAGCCTCAGGAAGATCAAAAGGAGCTCTATTAGTTTCAGCTAAAATAGTAATAAAAAAAATTAAACTTATAGGTAATAAAGGAATTAAATACCAAATTGAATTTTGAGATTCAATAATTAAAGTTAAATTCATAGAATTAGATAAAAAAACTACCATTAAAATTATCATACCTAAAACAACTTCATATGATATCATTTGAGCTGTAGATCTTAAAGAACCTAATAAAGCATATTTAGAATTTGCTGATCAACCAGCAAATAATACACCAAAAACACCTAATGATGAAATAGCTAAAACATACATTATACCTAAAGAAATATCTGCAATTGTTAAAGCTGGAGCAAAAGGAATAACAGCTCAACCTAATATACTTAAAGTTAAAGATAATATTGGAGCAAATAAAAAAATACCTTTATTTGATATAGAAGGAAAAATAGTCTCTTTTATAACTAATTTTACACCATCTGATATTGGTTGTAATAATCCAAATACACCTACTTTATTTGGTCCTAATCGTCTTTGCATAGAACCCATAATTTTTCTTTCTGCTAAAGTCATAAAAGCTATCATCCCTAATAATGGAACAATTATTATTAATACCTCTAAAAAAGAAGAATTCATTATATTTTATTATTTAATTTATTTTTTCCGAGACACGCAATGCGTGTCGAATCAGGTGCATTGCACCTGCTTTATGAAAAATATCATTGTATATGAAAAAGGCACGCATTGCGTGTCTCGTATTATTGGTAAAATTATACAAAGCGCAAGATCAGTACACACTGAAAGTGTGTGATGATCCCGCTATGCGAGATTATTAATGATCTTGTGCACCAGGCACCATGACTATGTCATGGGGCCCCACCAACAAAGTTGGTGTGGCTTATAGCCTGGTGCTAAAATATACCTTACCAAATCATCGGTGTTAAACCCTAATTTAGTTTGAGAACGATGATTATAAATTTTGCACCATGACTACGTCATGGGGCCCCACCAACAAAGTTGGTGTGGCTAATTACACACCCCCCCTTTAGGGGGGTGTGCACCATGTGTCTTAAAATTTTTAAAACCATAGATCAAATCCTGTAATGGATTTGATCTACAATCACTTTGTTTTATGATATAAATTTGTATAAATATATATATATTAAAATCATATATATATATATTAAAATCATATAGATATATATTAAAATCATATACATAACTTAAAGGTTACGAGACACGCATTGCGTGTCGAGTCAGGTGCATGCACCTGCCTATTTAATTAAACAATACAAGGGAAACATCCTTTTTAAAAGGATGTCTTCCGAGTAAGGGGATTTATTTTACTTGCTTAGCTTAATAGGATAAAGCATTGATCTTCTAAATCAAATACTAAGGGTTCGAATCCTTTAGCAAGTAAAAGGGTATACCCACTTTGTGAACTACCCAAATTTATACAAGACACGCATTGCGTGTCGAGTCAGGTGCATGCACCTGTCTTTATACGGGCATGATGAAATAGGTAGACATTTGTATTTTAGGAATACAAGGTGAATAACCATGTGAGTTCAAGTCTCGCTGTCCGTATTTTTTATGAGGTCTATATAAAGTCAGGTGCATGCACCTGTCTATTCTTATCGTAATTAATCTGGTTGCCTCAGGCAACCTTCATCAGTATTAATCCAACTTTAATACTGATTTAATTATGAATAAGTGGCGAATTCCATCTTGTTGGAATGAATTTATTTGGTGAATATAATTTAAAGGTAAAATATTGGCCTGTGGAGCTGAAATTTCGGGTTCGATTCCCGATATTCATCCTATTAGGCAGGTGCATGCATCTGACTCGACACGCATTCCACACCCCCCCTTTTTGGGGGTGTGTACCGCGTGTCTTACACATGATATTACCGATGAAGGTTACCTGAAGCAACCAGAGGTTAAAATTTAACCCCCACATCGTAGATTAAATTCGGTTTTATGTTAATGTGGTGACGTAAGGTTCCAAGATGTAAGCCACACCAACTTTGTTGGTGGGGCCCCATGACTACGTCATGATGCCTAATGTTTCGTATGGATTTATAGCTTAATGGTAAAGCTCATGATTGTCGATTATGAAGTTGCCGGTTCGATCCCGGTTGAATCCGATTTTATAAATCCCGTAAGGATTTATATAAAATCTCAGAATTTTATATAAATCCTTACAAGAAAAACATCCTTTTTAAAAGGATGTCTTCCAAGTCGAGTGCACGAGACCATTAATAATTTCGCATTACGGGATCATCACACATTTTCAATGTGTAATGATCTTGGCCCCACATCCTTGATGTGGGGCTCAGCACTCACACACCAAAAAATAGTGAATCTCAAATTTGCCGTCGTTTTCAAATCCATCATGCAATGATGGATTTGACACCGATGGCTGGAACCCTTACGGGTTTCAAGGCCACGAAAAATTTAAGTGCACCGTTTATTAGGTTATTATTTATATCTTAAGGCCCCAGACCACCAGATGGGTTTTATGCCGATCTGATGGTCTGGGGGTGCACTTATGCACCTTTAGCTTAATAGGATAAAGCATTAGTCTTCGAAACTAAATATTATAGGTTCAATTCCTATAAGGTGTTATATAAATAGGCAGGTGCACAGGATCATCATTGATGGGCCCCACATCGAAACACACTTAAAGTGTGTGACGATGTGGGGCTCTGCACCTGACTCGACACGCAATGCGTGTCTCGTATTCTAATTTTTTAAAAAACCACATCAACATCAAATCAAATTTGATTTACGATGTGGTTCTATGGCATTATGTCATTAGGAATTTATTTAATAATGTATAGATATATTATATACATATGTTATATATAATATACTAGATACGTTATACGTATCGAGTTAGGTGCAAACACTTGACTCAGCATACATTACGTACTTTGTATTTCATATTTATTGAAACCCGAAAGGGTTCCAGCCATCGGTGTCAAATCCATCATGTTATGATGGATTTGAAGACGATGGCGACATTTTGAAAAAAATATACCTTTTCGACATCGACGCCATCATGAGATGGCTAAGACCCTTAGGGTCTGAAGATGTCTAGTCACCCAATGGTGACGAGAATTTTCGCAATTTAAATGAGATTTATAGCATTAAAAATGATAGGCAGGTGCATGCACCTGACTCGACACGCTTTGCGTGTCTCGTATTCTAGATGCTTTACTATCAAATGATAGCGATAAAATGGAAAAGATATTATATTTATAAAGAGTTTGATCTTGGCTCCGAATGGACGTTGTCTTTTAGCTTAACACATGCAAGTCGAATGGGTATTTTACCCATGGCGTACGGGTGAGAAAGAATAAGAATGCATCCCATAGGATTGAAAAAATATCAAATAGTCATTAGGTGTTTTACACCCAAATGACATTAAAAAGGATAACACACACTTAAAACGTGTGGTATTTAATTGTAAAATCCGCCTATGGCTGTGCTTATTTTGGATTAGGTAGAAGGTGAATAATAAATAGCTCACCATTGCCAATGATCCATAGTCGGTTTGAGAGAATGATCGACCACAATGGCCATGAAATAAGGACCATACCAGTATTGTACTAGGTCAGCAGTGAGGAATTTTGGACAATGGCCGAAAGGTTGATCCAGCTAAATAGAAGAGTGACGATTAAAATTTTGCGCATCACCCTTAGGGGTGATGCAATTTATTTTTTTTCGTACGAAACATCTAGGTTAAGATACAAGTTTAGTGTTTTACACTTTTCTTGTTTCTTAATTAGGATGTTCGGAAGACGAACAGTTGTAAAACTCTAAAGAAAAGGAAGATAATGACATTACTTTTCTATTCATTCTGACTAATCTCGTGCCAGCAGTCGCGGTAATACGAGAAGAATGAACGTCATTCATCTTAAATGGGTGTAAAGAGTATGTAGGCAGTTTTATTTTAATTTGCTGAATGCGTGAAAACACGTGATAGGTAATTTGAGATTTAAAACCCTTTTGGGTTATTTTTATTCTCAGTCAAAATTTTCCATTTTTATGGGTATTTGATTTTAAAATTAAACTTGAGTAAAATAGAGGAAAGAGAAATTTCAAGTGTAAGGATGGAATCTTATTATATTTTGAAGGAACTCCAAAGGCGAAGGCTTCTTTCTAATTAATTACTGACGCTAAGATACGAAAGTGTGGGTAGCAAAAAGGATTAGATACCCTTGTAGTCTACACTGTCAACAATGAATGTTATTTATCTGTATATTTGGGTAAATGAATTTACGTTAAACATTCCACCTGGAAAGTACGATCGCAAGATTAAACCCCAAAAGAATAGACGGTCTTTCATACCAGCAGTGAAGTATGTTGTTTAATTTGATGATCCGCAATTAATCTTACCAATTCTTGAATATTTCATATATCTAATACAAACATATTATATGTATTGTTTGCAACTATCTTAAATTTTAAGATTGGGTTGCTATATGTTTATACAGGCGTTGCATGGCTGTCCTCAGTTCGTATTGTGAAATATTTGGTTAAGTCCACTCACGAACAAAACTCCACCATTTAGTTTTATCTAAATGTGAACATTCTTAAAAGAACATTTTTGAGGGATTAAGACAAGTCTTCATGACCTTTATGAATTGGGCTATAGACGTGCCACATGAGTTGACACAAAAGGAAACGAAAGTTAAAACTTAAGTTAATCCTTAAACTCAACTTTGTACTAATAGAATTCTGAAACTCGAATTCTTGAAGTTGGAATTGCTAGTAATCGTGGATCACCACGCCACGGTGAATATAAATCTGATAGATGTACTAATCGCCCGTCAAGAGCCGGAAATAAATGATGAAAGAAGTTAGAATAGTTTTTCTCCTCATATACGTGACCCAAAGGTCACGAGACACGCATTGCGTGTCGATATTTTTTATTTATGAGTTAGTTTAATTTATTATTAACGATGATTTGTTTATAACTGGTTTTAAGTCGTAACAAAGTAGCCGTAGGGGAACCTGTGGCTGAAAGATGAAAAAAATGGTTGGGAAACCTTTAATTCCCCATTAGACAGGTGCAAAGCACCTGTAAAGGTGTGGGGATTAAAATTTATAAGGGTAATAGCTTAATGGTAAAGCATTCCGCTCATAACGGTTCAAATAGTGGTTCAACTCCTCTTTACCCTAAACTTTTTTTTTATTCAAAACACGCAAAGCGTGTTGAGTCAGGTGCACAGGATCATCCCGCTACGCGGGATGATCCCATTTTATAGGATCATCTATGATGGGCCCCACATCGAAACACACTTAAAGTGTGTGACGATGTGGTGCTTTGCACCTATTTATTTTTTTATCATTATGAGACACGCGATACACACCCCCCAAAGGGGGGTGTGGGATGCGTGTCTAGTCAGGTGCATTGCACCTGTCTAAGGGAAATAATTTAATTGGTAAAATATTGATCTCCAAAATCAATTTTAAGGGTTCAAGTCCTTTTTTCCCTGTTATTATTTTTGGAGCCAAAAAATTTTTAAAATCGAGACACGCGATGCACCCCCCCCAAAGGGGGGGTGTGGGTTGCGTGTCAAATTAGGAGCTTGCACCTAATTTTTTTTTTTATCGAGGGGTAGAATCGAACTACCACATTTCGTGTATGAGACAAATATTCTAACCATTAAATTACCTCGACATTGATCTAATAATACAAAGAACGCTAATTGCGTGCTAAATTAAGTGCTTTACACTTGCTTTAATATATTATGCAATACAAATTATATATAAATAATATATAATATGTATTTATAATAAATATAATAATATGATGTGAACATATATGAAATACCCCATAGGGGTAACCTGTAGGGTATTATATACATTGAATTAGGTGTTTTGTACCTGCTTAATGTAAAGTAGTTTAAACGAGTGTAAAATACTCGACTTAGTTTCAAAGGAACTTTATATTCACGAGACACGCATTGCGTGTCGAGTCAGGTGCAGAGCACCTGCCTATTAAGAGAAGATGTCAGAATGGTTATGAAGCGAGCTGTAAACTCGTAGGTTTTATACCTTATGGGGGTTCGATTCCCTCTCTTCTCAAATTGACATAAACATTAATGTGTAATCCATTAAAAAGATGTTAGGTGCAAAATCTTTGACTCGACACGCAAAGCGTATTTTGAATAAAAAAGTAAGTATTTGCTTTTCATTTGTTGGTGTGTGGATGCTAAAGGATTTATGTTGTTGAGTATATTAAAGATATGGTGTTATACAC